CACTGTGAAAATGTAAATCAATAAAAAGCTTGACGATTAATATAGATATTATCTGTCAAAACTATAAAATCTGAACTCTGCCAAGCCCAGTCATGTACGTAACATTTTTGCTCTCCATACCAATAAGGAGGTGTTCTCTGAGTCTGATCCTGTAAATCAGGAGTAACTACTGGCAGAGTTACTGGCAGTGTAGGAATAATGTGATGCAGTGAAAAATCAGACCTTATCATTCAAACCTCCTTCCACCACGCCCAAAATACACTATGATGTAGGAACTGCCATGATAACTCTACCTGCCTTAAAAATGAAATTTACCCCTCCACACACCCCATTTAAGGCCTGATTGTGGGGCTGAAGTGGCCATTACATGAGGTAGCAAGCTTTGCACTGGCCTTCTGCACTGGGATGAATATATCACCAGTTAAAAGACAGAGGAACAGATTGCCTCTGCCCTTGCATGGGTGTGCAAGTGTGGGAGAAAGAAGTAAGGAAAGAATGGGAATCAGCACACAGTTGTGGCCCATATGACATCCTCAGGTAGTATTGGATGCAGCCCACATAACACATATGCAACCCACAATGGTAAATAGGTTGAGGACCACTGCTCTAGCACATAAGGAGAGCTCACATGTCAGGGCAGTGTGCTCCTCACTCTTGAGCCCACTAGCTCAAGGAGGGCCAGGTAAATGCTCCAACTCCTTCACATTCCCTGTGGAGCAAATGGAGGAGTTCCTGTGCTATCCCATGTGCAATTTTTATTAGTGACCTGGAACAAATCATAAAGTCATCATTGATGAAGTCTGCAGATGACACAAACATTAGGGCAGTGATAAAGAACGAAGAGGACAGGGCACTGATTTAGAGTGATGTGGATTGCTTGGTAAAATGGGTACAAGCAAACAATGTTTTAATGTGTGTTTTAATAGATCTAAATGTAAATGTACAGAAAGAAAGCCATGCTTGTGGGATGGGGGGCTATGCTGGGAAGCAGAGACTCTGAAAAAGATTTTGTGGTTGTGGTGGATAATCAGCTGATCATGAGCTCCATATATGATGCTGTGGCCAAAAGAGCTACTGCGATCCTAGGATGCAAAAATAGGGGAATCTTGAGTAGGAACAGAGAGGTTATTTTTTGTATTTGGCACTGGTGTGACTACTGCTGGAATACACTGATCAGTTCTGGTACCCACAATTCAAGAAGAATGATAAATAAGAGACGGTTCAGAAAAAAGCCACAAGAACGATTAGAAAACTTGCCTTATAGTGACAGACTCAAGGAGCTCAATCTTTTTAGCTTAACAAAAGAAGGCTACTTGACTTGGGTGACTTGACTGCACTCTATAAGGATCTACATGGGGAACAAATATTTAATAACAGGTCTTCAATCTAGCAGAGAAAGGTATAACATGATCCAGTGGCTAGAAATTGAAGCTACACAAATTCAGATTGGAAATAAGTTGTATCTTTTTTGACAGTGAGGGTAATTAACCATTGGAACAATTTACCAAGAGTTATGGTGGATTCTCCATCACTGGCAATTTTTAAATTGAGATTGGGTGTTTTTCTATAAAATATGCTCTAGGAATTATACTGGGGAACTTCTATGGCCTGTGTTCTATAGGTAGCCAGACTAGATGGCCACAATGATCCCTTCTGGCCTTGGAATCTATAAATCAATTAATCCTTTTTCTTCCCATCTTATCCACGTTGGCTTTTATGATAACATCTTCCTTTTTCTCCTGCCACCCTTCTGGATGCTTATATAGCATCTCTTTGGGTGTATCCTCCTCCTCTGAATTCAAATCCTATGCTTCTTCCTGTAAAAATTTCTGGGTAGTATGTGTTTCTTTCCACCCTTCTAGAATTTCATTTAGACCACTATCTCTAATCTTGATTATTGTAACCCCCTCTTTGCCACCAATTTTGCTCCCTCCAGTCAATGAAAAATATTGTCCCCCCCAAATTATCTTCCTCCCCTATCAACCTCACCACATCACCCTCTCTTTGAATCACTCCATTGATTCCACCTTCTCTATCATATCACATTTAAGCTTCATGGGATGGCCTAGAAAACCCTACATATCTTTTCCCTACTCAACTTAGCCAAACTCATATCTTACATTCCCACCCTGTTCCTGTCCTCTGCACTACACCAATGATGTCAACCTTTGTTGCTCTGTTTATCCACTTGTTCCACAAACATTTCCGCGCTATCTTGCATGTTGAGGAACATGATTAAATGATTGTGTTTCCTGCTATTGCAGGAAGCTGGAGGCAATGACTCAGAAGGTCCTTTCCACTCCTATAACCTATGGCACCTCCTATTCATGGAATATCTTTCCTGACATGGCCCTCAAGGCTACTACTGCCTCCATATTCAAATGGCTCCAAGAGACCCACTTCTACTGACACATAAAAGAAATTAACTATCAAATTATGGTTAGACTGTGATGATTGAAACTATCTACAATCTAAAAAACCCATCATGCTATTAATACATTTTATTATATAGAATGGAGTTTGACCAATTTATTTTTCCTACATCCCTTTCACCTGCCCTTTGTCCATCTTCCAGACTGTGCGCTTTTCAGGACAGGAAATTTACCTTCTTATGAGAGTGCCCAGCACATAAGGGACATTACCAGAAACAGACAAAAAAGAGAAGCAGCAATGATGGCAGTGATATTGGACCATTGAGTTAGGTACTATTTCAAAAAAATCTGTGTATGGGTAGATAGGTAAGGAGCTGCATGCAGTGTACTTACTGCACAAATATTACAGATTCAAGATCCAGGCTCTAAAGTTGCCACCTCACTGTTGCCCAAACAGGTTTCGTAGGTAAGCACTCATGGCAACAAACTTCTGCTCACTACAAGCCTATGGCTTTTTGTCATGCTTTATTTACATACAACCATCTGATGCTCTTTCTTCTCTGCTTTTCTCTCATCTTTTTCATATAAAATAAACAAAAAAATCAAATTGGATTTTATATCAGCTGTTTCCCCTACTTCTTTTGGAGACTACGTATATCAATCATACAGTATAAAGTTGCTGCAAACCAGTTGGTCTATACAATAGCTGCCAATGATCATATCATAAAAGGTCAGTTCTACAAATATTCAGCAAAGTAGCTACCAAAGGCTTAAGAAATTTGTGATGAATTACTCATCCTGCCAACTAACCATGCTCCAGAGTATCTTACAACTCCTTCAAGTTTATGTGTTGCAGCAGGCTATAGGTAATTTCTGCTGAATCAGGCCATTGGTGGTTTCATTTACTTGGGTGTTATTTAATTGTCACTCTTTTAAAGTAGTTTATAGCTTTTAAAATTTTTTTCAAGTGCTAAGTCTTTCAAGTCTTATGTTTTGTGTCAACAGCTAAGAAGCACTGAGATTTCAAACCGAATTAGCAGGAATGCACAAAGGATATATGTAGACTACTAAAAGTAGGCAAAGTTAAGTCAAAGTTAGCCCAGTACCCACTGTAGCTACCCTTGACATTTTCCTAGCCTAGATATACTCACTATAGATTCAGCAAAACAACTATGAAGTTCTAATTAAAGCTCTCCAGATCCAGCCAAAATATCCTGTAATATTTTCCAGTTTTCCCAAACTTCTCATAAACTGCATGGCTGAGTGCTCCAAGTGATTTTTATTGAGAGGCATTTTACCTAAAGCAGTTAACTTTGATGGATGGAGAACAGCTTCCATGAGAAATATCAAGACTCTATATAAGAATGTGTAAAAACACAAGCAAATAAAAATCCATATCTGTTTAGATTCAGTTCAAAGGAGCCAAATTCTTTTTTCCCCCCAGATAAGCAAATGCAGTACTGACTGATGTTAAGTGGAATTGCACACCTCTGCATGAGGGAACAACTTTAGCCTAAGTTTTCAATATAGCATCTCTCTAGACATGTGACTTGGCACCATTTAAACAATGAATGTAGTTCATCCTCTTGCTTCTGCTATCTAAGATCTGATATGCTACTGAAGTATGAACTGGGCACAGCTTTAGAATCAGTCTGATAAATGCAGTTTCTAAGCATGTGCTAAGACTTAGTTGTGAAAGTCAAATATTAAAACCATTTGTTGATATTTAACAGCCCAAAATGTATCTTGTGTGGCTATTGCCAGCATAGAAGCAGCAAATATACACAGATGGCATGATTCTGGTCCTGGGGTTCAGTGCGGCATGTTTCCAACCTGGTTCCTGAAAAAAAGGAAGACCTTCCACAGATATAATGCATGGGTGGGGCTCCTGGCAATTTCAAGAGGCATTGCCATGTGAAAAGTTGGGAGGGACAGCTGGGGAAAAGCTGCTCTGTACAGCCTGCTTCCCTAGGAAGTCTCACCTTCTGTCATGCAGCATTAAGTTCTGACCTGTGAAAGCTATTGTTTTGGGGGTTGGCTGCAGGAAAGGAGTGCATAGCCACCATGTTGTCCATCCATGTGGGGATGAAAGTGAGCTGGAAATCATTTCAAAGGGACCTTATGGAGGAATTGTTTGTCCAGGCAGATACATCAGATCTGCTGGACTGGGGACAGGATATCCCACTGAGCCACTTGTATATCTGGTTATTAGCTCACACACTGCATCTTGCAAACACGTATTAATTCTGCTTGCATGCATAATCCTACTGACTTCAACAGGATGACTATGAGTCAAGTTAAGCATGTGCATAACAGTTGGTAAGAGTGGGGCCTGTTTTCATTATTTACTTATTAACTGAGATGTAACGACTATAAATATTCAGAAAAAAAGTATTTAACCACACTGTACTTAATAGCATTCAACAGCCATCTTATTAAACCTAGCTGATATTTAAAAACACTTTCCCCACTTCAGTTTCCTAGAGCTATGACTGAAACAAACAAAGAAACAAATGAAACGCAACCAAAACCAGCATTCAGCACCGAAGATAGTTAATAAACAGGGGAAAGAGAAGAGAAATTAACACAACCAATTTCTCCCATTAAAAATAGCCTATAAACACTTACCGAGTGGTTGTCCTGCAATGATCCTAGCATTCTCTCCTGCCACCGCAGCCCTCGCATGCCTCTCACTCATATACTGTACAAATGCATAACCTTTGTGCACTGAGCAGCCAACTATTTTTCCGTACTTTGCAAAGATTGCCTCTATGTCACCTTTTTTGACAATGGCTGTGTTCAGATTGCCAATGAAGACTCTGGAGTTGATTGACTTGGGGTCATTCTTATTGGTAACATTGCTGGTCTGTGTTTTGCCGGTCATGATTGGCTCACTTTGCTTTAACCCTTAAACAAAGAAGAGAAAGAAAACACAGTTACCACTGGCTTCAAAGAGTTTTTCAGTGATAATAACTCACTTAGGCTAAATCAAAATTCATCAGTATTCTATTTTCTAAAAATGCTTAGCAATAAAACTGGCACTGTGAGTTTTTAAATATTATCAAGAAGTCAATTTTAAATCTTTCATTTTTATGGATTTAAATATAACCATAAATCTGGTAATCTAATACTCTGATGTTCATCAGTGGAGCTCTACTGTAATGGTATGTGGATTTGGGCTTTGAAATTCAGCATTGACTTGCTAAATACCTAGGTATCTAGAGCTGCAAAGAAAGAGAATGAACCATTATCTTGTCTTAATGAAATGAACATTCAAGGCTAGGTAGAGAACAAACTCTAACAATGAAAGACTTCTCTGCCTTTGTTTTGTAAGTGTCAGCCATTGACCATTAAATATCCCATTGAATACCATTGACCATTGTGAGGAGCACAGAGCAGGCTATGTACAGTTCATGCAGTTTCTTACCATAATCAATATTTTTTATTAGAAACTAACATTTTTTTAGTGCAGAGAAAGTACAAATGGCTAATCCACCTAGAATGACAAAGTATGAAAACAGACCATCTTTATGGAATAAAAACAGTGTGTTTTTTTCTGAAGAGGCAATAAACCAAATTCAGCCTTGGTGTAATGTTACTGGAATCAGTAGAGTTACACTAGGAAAGGATTTGGCTTCAGATTGTAGCTTTATGCCCTTATTTTTACAAATCACATAGCTACCTGGGGCAGCATCAATATATTGCATTCTCGGTGCCATCAAAACAGCAGCTGTGACTTCCTGTGCTTATGCAGCCCTATGCTTATAAATAAGATCCACCTAACTTTAATAATATTTCATAACCAAGAGGCTAATAAGTATGATATGCAAATCATACATGCCTGAAGCTTCCTTTCCTTGCATTTACACCTGCTACCACTTAAGTGGAGGTAGAATGAGTATTCCATATGGCTGCTGGAATTTCTCCAGCTACACTAAGCAATACATGGTCAAAAACATCCATATACATTAAACACAAATTTTAATAAATATGAGGTCATCCATATAGTAATTAAGTACATACCATCTCTTGCAACTACTTTGTTATTGCTCTGCTTTAATTTAGTCATATTTTAGTTCAGATCATATCACAATAGCAGCTCAAGCAAGGCATACTGTGAGAAGGTACTCCAGCCAGGGCCTGCTCCAGGCACCAGCTCAGCAAGCAGGTGTTTGGGGCGGCCAAGGGGAAGGGGTGGCTCGTCGGGGTCTTTGGCGGCAATTCAGCAGCGGGTTCCTCAGTCTCTCTCGGAGGACCTGCCGCCGAAGTGCCACCGAAGAAGAAAGCAGCGCGGGGGAGCTACCGCTGAAGTGCCGCCGATCACAATCGCGGCTTCTTCTTTTTTTCTTCCACCTCTTGGGGCGGCAAAATCTCTAGAGCCGGCCCTGACTCCAGCTAAAAACTGTTTACAGTTAAAGTACTGTTCGTTTCTCAAGATTAAAAGGAATACTGATCTCCATTCTGGACTGCTAAAGACTGACAGTAACTAGCACAAGTATAATTTTTTTTTAATCAATAGCTATCATATATTAAATTAGAGCTTGAAGAAAGGAAACCATTGTTATTGAACTCAGTACAATTCCTAGAGCACAAAAACATCCTCATCAAAAGAACCATTACTACGACTAGCACTATTTTTGGCACTCTTAGCAGGAACTGATTCAGTCTCATTCACCAGATGTTGTTTTAAAGATTCTAAGGCCAGAAGGTACCATTGTGATTATCTAGTCTGACATCTTGCATTACAGATGCCACAGAATTCCCCACCCCCTCCCAAAAAAATCCCTAAAGCATATCTTTTAGAAGAACATCCAATCTTGATTTTAAAATTGCCAGTCATGGAGAATCTACCGCAACCCTTGGTAAATTGTTCCAAAGGTTAATTACCTTCATGGTGTGATCATGGTTGAGGCAAGCTAGCAAGCTTGAGCTTTCAAAGCCAAGGAAAACAAAGTACTTGATTTATCAAAAGAACACACACACACAATATGGATAATCAGTCAGGCAACTTTCACCAGCAATAAACATATTTAATAATACAACATTCAAAGAATTTATAATTAGACAAAAGACTATTATTTATTATAACTACCTCAATTCCAAATGGATCCTTGCCTGAAGGCACAGAAACAGAACACACAACTTTCAGCCTACAAAAGCCAATGAAGTAGCCTTCACCAAAGAAGCCTTCGCTTCATTGCATGGCAAGATTAGTATCAAAGTAACCACCCTTCCCTCCACACTGCAGCATCCAAACCCAGCAATCCAAGTTGGAGTGGTGGTGTGGAATGGTGGCTCTGTAAGATCAGCTAAGAGATCTGTGATAACCCCATTCAGTTTGCAGTAACTAACTACAATGATTTTGGTAAAGCCACTTGGAGACAGTATGGCCCAGTGGATAGGGTAACGGCTTGCCTCCTCTCCTCACTTACTGTATGGACTTGGACAGTCACTTAATCTCTCTTGTACTCAGGTTTCCCTTTCATACTTTGTTTAGATTATAACGTTTTCAGAGCAGGACGTTTTTCTCATTATGTTTATACAGTACCTAGCACAATGGTGTATGATCTGGGTTGAGGTCTCTAGGCAGTAAAAAGGATAAAAATTAAAAAGAAAACAGAAGTTATATTATGGCTATAGCCATTAAAATATATTATGTTCTAACTCCTCCCTGTTGTTTTGCCATTTGACATGTGAGTTTTGGAGCATTCATTTGTTATTGGAGAAAAAAAATCCGTTTTCATTTTTGCACCCAATTTTGCTCTGCAATAGTTTAAATAGAGTTTGAATAGGACATTGTATCTTTCTGTCCTGTAACCAGAATTTGCATTGCAAAGTACACGGTTTTGTGTCAAAAAGAAAAGTGTTTGTCTGGTAGGTTCTCTCATATTCAAACAAACAGTCAATAAAATGTGTTACTGAAATTCAAAGAGTAAGAATAATATTAACATTTGTGTAATTGAGATTGGATTGCCTTGTTGGGCTATGTATAATAAAACTGTGCATATTTCACAAAATCAAAGACACACAAGATTCTCCATTACAATGATAAAGAACTTATGGTAAGTTTTGCATCTTACTAATATCCATTTGTGAACACTGAATTGTACTCAGCACATCTGTATTTTTATCTATAGAATTGCAAATATGATATGCCTATGCTTTGACACTGACAGAAAAAGAAAACCATTTACTTTTTGCAATTATTGCGGAATCTAAGATATTATTTGAATTGATCTAATTTCCTTGCAGCCTTTAATAAGATATAACTCAATCATCTTGTTAATTTCTTACCATATCAGTTTTACAAATATCTACTGTGCATACCAGCTGTGGTTATAAGTATGTCTGGCATATAAGAAATATATATTCAAAAAGACTATTTCACAATCAGTATGCAACTTTTTATGAAATGCATTGATTTGTTTTATGTTGAACCTGACTCAGAATTTCACCAGTAATAATAAACCCCTAAACTGTCTTACTTGACTTAAGAACTAAAATCATTCCTCGCCATGCAAATTACTAATGCTTTGATATATTGAAATCACAACCTTCTCTAATTTAGTAGTTTTCAACCTTGCTTCTAAAAGACTATCATAATTTTATTTTTATGTAGATATGAATGTAATCTCCTTTGTTTTATCTTCTGTTCTCTCTTTAGTAACTGTAATACCATATTTTTTAAAAAAGCTCTGCCTTGTTATTCATAGGGTAGTATAAATGCACACAACTTTCTGACTTTATAGAACTTTTCTGTCATCTATTATTCAGTTGAATGGCAATTCAGAACAGTTTGACAAAGTTTCTAATGTATAGATTCCCTAGGGAATTCAAGTTCACTTCTTCTGGATTTTGGCAGCTGAACTTTCATAACAACTTTCTTTGTATATAAAAAAGAAACATGAATGTAGTACTTTGGAAGACATTTGATTTATAGGACTGAAATTGAAGTTTTCTCCATGTGCGCTGCACAAACTGTAGCAGGGCATAAATCTGCACATCTTATTAACAAGCCTCGGTGTTTCTTAAAGGGCCACCTTCAATTTCTGCGTAGTAATATTTTATTTTGGTGATAGCAATCAGCAAACTAAACTTAAATGCTATTTGTTGACTGTTTAGATTTGGTGCATGGATGTCACATCACCAAAAAGATCCAGTCAGCCAATTAGAATACATATTTTGTCAACTGGGGCCAAAGTTATCTTTGGTTTAACTCCATGGAAATAATCACTTTGACTTTGCTGGAGTTACACTCTGGATAAATACGGCCTTTCCTGGCAACAGCTACAATCTATGTATAGTATTAAGCTTGAAAGATAGTGATAGCAGTTCACTTTAGCTTTGTCATGGTGTAATTGCTGTCTGCTGTAAAAGAGTGTGTGGGGCTCTGCCAGATCAGCTTTTAAAGTTCTACAAAATGTTGATGAAAAATAAAACACGTGTGTCTTCTGAAGCCGAAGTTGCCCTGATTCACTAAGCTATGCAGACTAGGCCACTGCCACCAATCAGTAACAATCCTGTTACACCTAATTACGGGCTCAACCAAACACCATTGGAAGTCTGTGGAAAGTTTTCCACTGAAGCTGCATCATGCCCCAGATCTTTTTATAAGTAATGAAGTTTCTAGTTTCACAAACAATTTTCTCATCTTGTCTTTAATATTTTTAACACACATTTCCACAAGCTTCCACCCTCTGGCTTGCTATATCTTTGACTTATTTTCTTTGTAAGAAAAGCTTGTTAAGGCTTGCTTGTTGTAAATCGCGGGCAAAACTCCCACTTCAATGGGAACAGAATTATGCTCATTGAAGAAATTCAGGAAGGAAGGAAGGAAGTACAATTTAGAATTTAGATATAAACTGAAAAGCTTTTTGAAAATAAGTTAAACTTTAAAATCCAAAATA